TCGTAGTTCTTCGACCAAGTCGAGATTCATGCGTAAGTTATCGTCGTTCTGATTTTCTGTGAAATTCTCTACTCGGTAGGTTGGCGACCCGAGTTCCACGGGGACCATGGCTTCCGATCCGTATGCCAAAGAGAACGGGGTTTCTCCCGTCGACGATCTCGGAGACGTACGGTATGCCCATAGGACGCCCGGTAGTTCTTCCGGCCAAGCCCCTTTTGCTGCTTCAAGTCGTATCTTCAGACTGTTCTTGATTAACTTGTTCACCGCTTCGACCTGGCCATTCGATTGGGGGTGATACGGAGTTGAGAAATAGTGCTTTATGCCGTGAGATGTACAGAAGTCTTCCAGCTTTTTCCCTTCGAACTGTCTTCCGTTGTCGGTGACAATTGAGTTGGGCACGCCGAACCGACATATTACCGACTTCCAAAGGAAGTCGATCATCTTTGACTCGGTGATAGATGCTAGCGGTTCGGCTTCTGCCCACTTGGTGAAGTAGTCCACTACTACAACGGCGAACTTCACCCCTCCTTTTCCGGTCGGCAATGGTCCTATCAGGTCGATTCCCCATTTGGCGAACGGTCAGGGGCTCACGATTGATTTGAGGGGTTCTAGCACGAGATTCCTGTTTGGCACGAATATCTGGCATTTATTGCACCTCCTTACCCAGTTGGCGGCGTCCCGCCTGAGAGTCGGCCAATAGTACCCCCTTCGGAGGATTTTGTAGGCGAGGGCCTGGCCCCCGGAATGGCTTCCGCAGATGCCGTCGTGGACTTCTTGGAGTACGAACAGTGACTCTTGCTCTGTTAGGCATTTCAGGAGTGGAACCGAGTATCCTCGCTTGTAGAGTGTTCCTCGGTCTAGAGTGTATCTGGCGACTCGTATCCGTAGCTACCGTGCTTCTCTTGGGTCTTGGGGCTGTGTCCCCGACTTCAGATATGCGATAATTGGATCCATCCAAGTCGGTATTTTGTCGATTCCGTCGGCTTCGACCTGGCCAACTAGAGATGTAGACGTGGATGGTTTCTCTTGACTTCCGACCTGAACATACTCAACGTTTTCCATATTCGCGCTAGAGGCGAGGTGCGAAAGGGCGTCCGCTTGGACGTTCGACGTCCTCGGGATGTGCTCGATCTTAGCCACAAACTGTGCCATGTGTCGTTTGGCCAACGCCAGATATGGTATTAACCGGGGTTCTTTTACCTCGTAACTGCCGAGGATTTGGTTGACGAGTAGTTGGGAGTCCGAGAAGATGTTCAGGTGGGTTAGGTTCATGGTTTCTGCAAGGCCCAGGCCAGATAGCAGGGCCTCGTATTCGGCCTCGTTGTTGGTGGCCGGAAAAAGGAACTGAACTGAGTGGCAATATAACCGTTGTTCTGGGTCGATTAGGACTACACCTTCTCCTGCCCGGGCTGCCGTTGACGATCCATCGACGTACATCACCCATGGTCGGTTGTCCGTCCTCTCTTGGATTGCAGGGGTGAACAAGGCGATGAAATTCGATAACACCTGACCCTTGATTGCCGTGCGGGGTTTGTAATGTATATCGAATTGTCCCAACTCTACGACCCATTTAATCATTCTCCCTGACGTGTCGGGTCTATGGAAGACTTACCTCAATGGGTGGGCCGTCAGGACAGCGATCGAGTGTTCTTGGAAGTAGGGTCGAAGTTTCCTCGCCGCTATGATGAGAGCGTAAGCCAGCTTTTCCATCGGCAGATATCTGAGCTCGGCATCGTGCAACGCCTTGCTTACATAGTAGATCGGGTGTTGGCATGTTTCTTCTTCTCTTATGAGCACAGCGCTGACCGCCGAGCTGCTTACTCCGAGGTATAAATACAGCATTTCGTCGGGCTTCGGTTTTTGCAAGACCGGAGGTCGGGTCAACGTGTCTTTGATATTGTCGAGAGCTTTCTGACATTCGTCGGTCCATTCGAACTTCTTTCCTTTCTTTATGGCGTCGAAAAAAGGCTTGCAGCGGTCAGTCGACTTTGAAATGAATCGATTCAGGGCCGCCAACCTCCCAGTTAGGCCCTGCAACCCCTTCACCGAGGTGGGGGGTTTGAGGTCGAGTATCGCTTGGATTTTCGTCGGATTCGCCTCTATTCCCCTTTGGCTGACCATGTAGCCCAGGAACTTTCCCGACTTTACCCCAAAAGTACATTTTTTCGGATTCAACACCATCGAGTAATCACGCAAAATCTTAAACATTTCATTCAAATTGGTTACATGATCATTTGCGTTTACCGACTTCACTAGCATGTCATCTACATAGACTTCCATAGTCTGCCCTATCAGTCTAGAAAACATTTTGTTGACCAGTCGTTGATATGTGGCCCTGGCGTTCTTCAATCCGAAGGCCATCATCGTGTAGCAGTATAGTCCACGAGCCGAGTAGAAAGAGGTATGCTCTGCTTCCTCTGGGTCTATAGGAATCTGGTTGTAGCCCGAGTATGCGTCAATGAAACTCATGAGTTCATGACCTGAGGTTGCATCGACCATGTAGTCAATGTGTGGCAGGGGGTAGCTGTCTTTCGGGCAAGCTTTGTTGAGGACGGAGAAATCTATACATAGTCGCCAAGCGCCGTTGGCCTTCTTGACTAGGACGGGGTTGGACACCCAGGTCGGGTACTTGGTTTCCTTGACGAACTTGTTGTCGACTAGCTTGTTTACCTCCTCCTCGAGGGCTTGTTGTCGGTCGGGACCGAGCTTTCTCCTCTTCTGGATGACCGGCTTTACTGTCTTGCCGATGTTGAGCCGATGACACGCAATTTTTGGGTCGATCCCCTTCATATCTTCATGTTTCCAAGCGAAGACGTCGGCATTCGCTCGGAGGAACCCTATTAGTTCGGTTCGGAGTGGTTCGGGCAGACCTGCCCCTATTCGGAGCTGTTTGTTGCAGGTCGGCTCGCCGACATTAATTATTTCCACCTCTTCGGAAGGTTCAGCTCGGTTCCCCGACTTCTTCTCTTTGAATTGATCTCGGGGGTCGAGGACGTCATCCTCCCTGGCGGGTTCTTTCCCTGGTCTCCTCCCCCGATCCCGAGTTTTGTCTTCTTCATCCGCGGATGGTGGTTGTTCGTCCCTCCCAGGACCTTGGTCATCGCCCATCTCGGCGTTGACTTCTTCCATCATATGGATTTCTCGTGAAGGTATCTCCAGGAACAACTCTCTGGCTTCTCTTTGTTCCCCATAATGGGTCCCTTCTCTGTCCGCTGTTGCGAACTTTATAGCTTAGTGGAAGATGGAAACTAAAGCTTGGAGTTTGTACAACGCCGTCCTCCCGATAATCGCATTGTATTCGTTGTCGAGGTCCATCACTTTGAAAGTTTCCATGATGACTTTATATGTTTGCCCGTGTCCCTCGAATCTGATGGGGAGTGTAATCTCTCCTAATGGGAGTGCTATGCTCCCGTTGAAGCCGTGGACATGGTCGTTGCAGGGGCGGACTTTGGCAGGGTCTATCCCGAGCTTGTTGAATGCTTTGAGCATGAGGATGCTCGTGTAGGACCTGGTNNNNCCCCGGTATCCACCATGATTCAATGGACAGGGATGCCGCAGATGGGGGCCGTGATTATAAGAGCGTCCGAGTGCGGGTGGTCGAATAAACTTGCATCCTCCAGTGTGAAAGTGATCGGAAAGTGCGGGCATTAATCGTTTCTCTGAGGTCCGAGGTCATCACATGTTTCCCCGAGTTGTAGGCCCTTCGCGCGTATGCCTTAGCCTGCCTCCGGGAAGACGTCGGCGCGTCTCGGTTGGTATTAACTCGGGGAATGGGACTTGAACGTCCCGAGGTCGGGAACGTCAGGTCGGGTCGTTGCTGGGCGTCGGCTTCTCGGCCTCTCTTCCCAAGTCGATCTCGGGGCGAGCCGACGTCCGTTGGCCCGATCACGAAAATCTCTTTGTCTCCTTGGGCTCGAAGCCTCTTGAAATTTGGCCCCCCTTCATCCCCTTCGTCGTCATCGGGGATTTCCTGTGTTCTTCGTTTCCCCTTGTTGTCGCCGGCCTTGGTGAATTTCCTCACTTGCGGATTACCGATAAGTTTCATTAGAGCCGACAGCAGGCTCAAACACTCATCTGTATTGTGACCCGGCGACCTGTGGTAGTCGCAATATCGGGCTTTGTCAAGTTGGTTCTCTGGAGTTTTTACCGGTCGGGCATCGGGAATGATTCCCTTCCCTTTGATTTCCTCATAGATGGCAGCTGCTCCAACCGAGTAGATAGATCGGTATCCCGCCTTCAAGTCCTCACGGTACTGTTTTCGGGCTGCTCGTACCTTGGGATCGTTCGGGTCTCCCCACCTCGGGTCCGTGGAGGAGATCTTCTTGGATGCATTGCTAAAAGGTTTCTTCTT